CATTTGCTGAATATGCTGCCTTTCCTCCAGTGAATGTTCTTGGCCCGTTTGTCATATATCAGGTGGCTGAAATTGCATGTACTCGTAATTGGGTTTTCAGTTTTGTTCCACTGGTCTATGGGTCTATTTTTGTTGTTTTTATTACTATAGCTGTGTAATACAGCTTGAAATCTTGTATAGTAATCCCCTGGCATTGCTTTTAGTGCTCAGGGTTGTTTTGGCTATCCGAGGTCTTCATGCTTCCATATGAATCTTAGGATAGTTTTTTCCAATTCTGTGAAAAATGGCATGGGGATTTTGACAGGCGCTATAGACTTTTGTAGGTTAATTTTGTAACCTGCCACTTTACTAAATGTGTTAATAATTTCTAGGAGTTTTCCGATGGAATTTTTGGCACCCCTTAGATATAATACCATATCATCTGCAAAAAGGGATACTTTCATCTCTTCTTTTCCAATTATTACTCCTTTAATTTCCTTCTCTTGTCTTATTGCTCTTGCAAGAGTTTCAAGTACTATGTTAAATTTTCTAGTGGAGTTTTTGGGATCTCTTATGTATAATATCATATCATCTGCAAATAGGGATAATTTGACCTCTTCCTTTCCAATTAGTACTCCTTTAATTTCCTTCTCTTTTCTTGTTGCTCACAAAAGAGTTTTGAGCACTATATTGAAAGGAGTGGAGATCATGGACAGCCCTGTTTGGTTCCTGATTTTAATTGGCATGCTTCCAGTTTTACCCCATTTAGGATGATGTTGGTTATGGGTTTGTTGTATATAGTTTTAATTATGTTGAGGTATGTTCCCTCCAGTCCAATTCCCTTTACGACTTTTATCATGAATGCATGCTGAATTTTGTCAAGGCCTTTTTCTGCACCTATTCAAGTGACCATGTGGTTCTAGTATTTGAGTCCATTTATATGATTTATGATGTTTATTTACTTACGTATATTGAACCATCCCTGCATCTCTGGTATAAAGCCGACTTGATCATGGTGGATGACCTTTTTGATATGTGTCTGTATGTGGTTTGCAAGTATTTTGTTGAGAA